ACATGGAGGAGCAAGTATACATGGAGGTGGAGGAGCAGGTACACATGGAGGTAGAGGAGCAGGTACACATGGAGGTGGAGGAGCAGGTACACATGGAGGTGGAGGAGCAGGTACACATGGAGGTAGAGGAGCAGGTACACATGGAGGTGGAGGAGCAGGTACACATGGAGGTGGAGGAGCAGGTACACATGGAGGTGGAGGAGCAGGTATACATGGAGGTGGGCACAGGAGCACACAAGTTTGCCCCCTAACACAGCCCACCTGACAAGCCTCGCCCTGCTCGTGTTTCCCCTAGCACACGATCTTCTAATCCATTTACATCCAGGTCTCCAATTATCGCTGGGTGCACAGTGTGGGAGGAGGAATGGTGGGGAGGGTGCAAACAGTGAAGGAACAGTAGGCAGCCGACCCAACCAGCCTAGGGAGCAGACTGCTGTCAGACTCGACGCCCGCTCCCCCTCGCGCGGGCATTACCGAGGGGTGCATGCTCAGAGCGCAGACGACTATACATCACACAGGAAGCAGCAGCAGTAGCAAGCATATGCTGTGTATTCATAGGTGTGGCCGGTATAATACGAGAACAGATGAAAGTGTACGTGGTTGTGCAAGGCTAAACTGCGGATCCTCTTACGCAAGGCCAACATTGTGCCGCAGCCGCAGCCGCCGCCACTGACTACTGTGGCAGTGGCTGAGTGGGTGACCACAGGGAGGTGGTGATGCTGGCCAGCTTTGAGAGCTGGATGGATGTATAAATAGATCGATGAATAGATAGATGGAGGAATAGGCAGATAGATGGATGGAACTTGGCCTAGTAAGCAAAGACCAATTTGCCTAACAGGCAGAGTGATTTCGTTATTTAACAAAAAATTGTTTTCAAACTAGTTTATCACAATTAATATAATTATATTACGAACATGAAATACTGACCAAGTTATGTTAGGTTAGGCTAGGCTAGGCTAGGTTAGGTTTGATCAAATTTCTATACTAGTTTTAACTGAAATAAAAAAAATCATATATAATGTAATAGAACTTTGTTATGATTCCATAAAAAAATGTACTGGAAAAATATAATATTTCAGGAAAAAATTATATATTACATTATATATATATATATATATATATATATATATATATATATATATATATATATATATATATATATATATATATATATACATATATATATGAGACCCAGGCATATATATATATATATATGAGTGGCCCAGGACGCTGTCTAAATCCCCCATACCTGTTCCAAATATTTTCTTATAAACATATAGATACACACATATACATACACACACATATACACACACACACACACACACACACACATATATATAGAGAAGCAAGAGAGAAAACAAGAGGACAGGTCCTCCAGAACTTGCCGCTTTATTTGCTGAACTGGAGCGCCAAGGCGGCAGCTTTATGAATTAACTTAATATAAAAGTTTCCCCCGGCGGCGTGTTGCCCCAAGAGTGGAAGGTTAGCCTGGAAGTCCACTACGGGCTCACCATAACCCGTGCTACTTGCCCCGCTCCTGTGCCGGGTAAGTCCACTACGGGCTCACCATAACCCTGTGCTACTTGCCCCGCTCCTGTGCCAGGTAAGTCCACTACGGGCTCACCATAACCCGTGCTACTTGCCCCACTCCTGTGCCAGGTTAAGTCCACTACCGGCTCACCATAACCCGTGCTACTTGCCCCGCTCCTGTGCCGGGTAAGTCCACTACGGGCTCACCATAACCCGTGCTACTTGCCCCGCTCCTGTGCCAGGTAAGTCCACTACGGGCTCACCATAACCCTGTGCTACTTGCCCCGCTCCTGTGCCAGGTAAGTCCACTACGGGCTCACCATAACCCGTGCTACTTGCCCCTCTCCTGTGCCAGGTAAGTCCACTACGGGCTCACCATAACCCGTGCTACTTGCCCTCTCCTGTGCCAGGTAAGTCCACTACGGGCTCACCATAACCCGTGCTACTTGCCCCCACTCCTGTGCCAGGTAAGTCCACTACGGGCTCACCATAACCCGTGCTACTTGCCCCCGCTCCTGTGCCAGGTAAGTCCACTACGGGCTCACCATAGCCCGTGCTACTTGCCCCGCTCCTGTGCCAGGTAAGTCCACTACGGGCTCACCATACCCGTGCTACTTGCCCTCTCCCCGTGCTACTTGCTACTTGCACCGCTCCTGTGCCAGGTAAGTCCACTACGGGCTCACCATAACCCGTGCTACTTGCCCCACTCCTGTGCCAGGTAAGTCCACTACGGGCTCACCATAGCCCGTGCTACTTGCCCCGCTCCTGTGCCAGGTAAGTCCACTACGGGCTCACCATAACCCGTGCTACTTGCTCCACTCCTGTGCCAGGTAAGTCCACTACGGGCTCACCATAGCCCGTGCTACTTGCCCCGCTCCTGTGCCAGGTAAGTCCACTACGGGCTCACCATAACCCGTGCTACTTGCCCCGCTCCTGTGCCAGGTAAGTCCACTACGGGCTCACCATAGCCCGTGCTACTTGCCCCGCTCCTGTGCCAGGTAAGTCCACTACGGGCTCACCATAGCCCGTGCTACTTGCCCCGCTCCTGTGCCAGGTAAGTCCACTACGGGCTCACCATAACCCGTGCTACTTGCCCCGCTCCTGTGCCAGGTAAGTCCACTACGGGCTCACCATATCCCGTGCTACTTGCCCCGCTCCTGTGCCATGTAAGTCCACTACGGGCTCACCATAGCCCGTGCTACTTGCCCCGCTCCTGTGCCAGGTAAGTCCACTACGGGCTCACCATAGCCCCGTGCTACTTGCCCCGCTCCTGTGCCAGGTAAGTCCACTACGGGCTCACCATAACCCGTGCTACTTGCCCCGCTCCTGTGCCAGGTAAGTCCACTACGGGCTCACCATAACCCGTGCTACTTGCCCCGCTCCTGTGCCAGGTAAGTCCACTACGGGCTCACCATAGCCCCGTGCTACTTGCCCCGCTCCTGTGCCAGGTAAGTCCACTACGGGCTCACCATAGCCCGTGCTACTTGCAACGTTCTGTTTCGAGTAGCTGAATCTAGAACAACCACCACTACTAACAGGAGAGAGGTCCTCGACAAGCAAAATATGCGTCCACTTCCCTCATTCCAAATCCTTATCTCTGACCCCTTCCAAGTGACCCCTTCCAAGTGACCCCTTCCAAGTGCTATATATTCGGAGTGGCTTGGCGCTTTCCCCTGACGGTTCCTTCCTTCCCGACAGTTTGCACACACGTGTACCAATGCTCCCTTGACCTTGCTAGAACTATCTGTGATATACTGTATACATGAGCGCCCTGTACAATTTGTCCACAGTCTTTGATATGTCTTTAAATTAAAAGACAGACCAACTGTACGAGATTCGTACGTCAGGCTGCGAGCAGCCGCGTCCGACAGCCTGATTGACCAGTCCAGCAACCAGGAGGCCTGGTCGAGGACCGGGCCGCCAGGGGTCGTTGAGCCCCGAAATCATGGCAAGATAACCGCCGGGGTGACTGTCCTCCTCGTCAGGTCAATTAACAGCTGACCAGTCGACAGAAAACGGCGCGAGACGGTCAATGGTGGCGCCATCTCTTGGTTGAAAGCGGCGGATGTCCATTCGTACACACACATCCACCGCTTCCAGGCGACTCTGGAGTTACTAGTTAATGGTTTTATGGTGTCGGTCTGAGCCTGAGCTTCAATAGCTTTAGTTGTATACAAATACCTCGCCCGGATAGAACGCGGAATGCAGTTGTAACTTCAAATCCTGTACTTCTATGGTCACATGATAAAAATGAAACAAAATCCCAAAAAAATTATTATCATAAAGAAACCAGCATACATATAAACAGTCGACTATTTTGTTTGTTAACGTCCCGAAAAGGGAGGCAAGAACCAAACCCAAACAAACAAAATAACATCACTAAACAAACACACAGATGACATGCAACTTACAATGATCATTACAAGACTGGCGCCGACTGAGCAATATAGGTTAACGAGTGATGATGTTCCTCGGGTTAATGTTTCCTTTAATTTTTTGACGTCATGTTCCCTCTACTTTATATACACCCGAGGCCAGAGACACCTAATGTGAGGTGGAAACCACCGTGAGACAAGGCATCATGGGTTGACTTATTGACGTGGGCGTGTGTGGGAGAGGCGGGGGGCGGGTGTGTGTGGAGAGGAGGGGGCGGGTGTGTGGGAGAGGAGGGGGCGGGTGTGTGGGAGAGGAGGGGGAGGGGTGTGTGGGAGAGGAGGGGGCGGGTGTGTGGGAGAGGAGGGGCGGGAGTGTGGGAGAGGAGGGGGCGGGTGTGTGGGAGAGGAGGGGGCGGGTGTGTGGGAGAGGAGGGGGCGGGAGTGTGGGAGAGGAGGGGGCGGGAGTGTGGGAGAGGAGGGGGCGGGAGTGTGGGAGAGGTGGTGGGGGGGCGGGTGTGTGGGAGAGGAGGGGGCGGGTGTGTGGGAGAGGAGGGGGCGGGTGTGTGGGAGAGGAGGGGGCGGGTGTGTGGGAGAGGAGGGTGGGGTGTGTGGGAGAGGAGGGGGCGGGGTGTGTGGGAGAGGAGGGGGCGGGTGTGTGGGAGAGGAGGGGGCGGGTGTGTGGGAGAGGAGGGGGCGGGAGTGTGGGAGAGGAGGGGGCGGGTGTGTGGGAGAGGAGGGGGCGGGTGTGTGGGAGAGGAGGGGGCGGGAGTGTGGGAGAGGAGGGGGCGGGTGTGTGGGAGAGTAGGGGGCGGGAGTGTGGGAGAGGAGGGGGCGGGAGTGTGGGAGAGGAGGGGGCGGGAGTGTGGGAGAGGAGGGGGCGGGTGTGTGGGAGAGGAAATACAGTGAGAGGTATGAAAGCAGGCGGGCTGTCCGCCTTGCTGACATGATGTGTGGGTGTTGGCAGCTAAGCTAAGCTTGCGCCCTCTTATCAGGGAGCTGTGAGTGTGTGAGAGGTTCTTCACATGTGTTTCACCATATATGGATGAGTGTGTTAGTGTGAGAAACACAGGGGGGGGGGGGGTCAGTACTCAC